AGCAATGTTGGGTCCTAGGGGGTTATGCAGTCTTGGCAGCCGGTACCACTTTGGTCTCATCAAGTGAAACCTTGGTGGGTGGTACCCATTGTCCACCTGGTAGTCATAGTAAACGGAAGTGTGATTCACTTTGGGCAGATGCTTGTGAGGATCATGCTTCCGGTTTACATACTTCTGCATAGCCTTTTTAGTTGGGTAGAAGTCCCATATACTATCAAGATCAGAGGGGCGATTAACTTTGGGCTTCTTAAGTTGACCAGCCAACCTTTTTGCCTAAAATTAACTTTCTCTTGATATCTGCCTTTCTAATGATCATTTCTGACATGATTATCATGAGTTTGTCTGTTATGGTTTTGTCTTTGATTTTTGGTATTCTGAAAATCTTTCCTGTTGTTAGGTCTTCTGCCAGGTTCATTAACTTTTAAAGTGGGTTTCTGTTGAACCTTTATCTTTTCCTTTTCTGGTCTGACATTCTCATGAATAACCTTGGTACCAGATACACCAGCCTGACAAATGGGGCTAGAAATCAGTGGCACTATGACTTTGTCTGCCTTAGCAACTCTGGTGCTAGGCATTACAGAAGGCTCACCTGATTCTGTTGAGCCATAACCAAGACCAAAACCAGTGCCAATTTGTTGGTCAAGTACAATCTTTTCCATGGAAGACTGGGCCTTCTGGTAAGCTTTGTACTTAATCTCAAGAGGCTCTATCTCTCTTATTCTCTTTAGAAGAGAAACATTTTCAGCTTCCAGCTGATCTCTTTCCTTAATAAGAAGATTGATTTTGATCTCAACCTCCTTTCTTAAGTCAAGTATTTCAACCTTAAGCTTACTGTTTTCTTCTTTAACAGAAGAATAAGTGGTTTGTATGGCTTGAAACTCTTCCCAAAATTCTGACATTGAATCAGAATCAAAGGCTCTGCCTACCGAAGAAAAACTAGAGTTGGAAGTAGAAGATACCTCATCATCAGATTGACCCATAAGGCATAGGTCTTCAGTTTCTGTGTCCAGGCAACAAAATGCTTCATCAGATTCTGATTCCGAGCTGGACTCTGTCTCAGAGAGGGGGTCCTTCTCTGGTTGTTCAGTGATGAGTGCCTTCCTTCTTCGGTGCTCGTATTTCTTTTCTCCTTCCTGGCCTTGCCTTTTGGAGACTATGAGGTGTGGACAATTGACTTTGAAGTGCCCTGGTTGTCTGCAGTTGTAGCAGAGAAGCTCTCCACTACTTTCTGATGGTTTGGACTTCTGGTGTGGCTTTCTGCTAGAGTGTGGACTTCTGCTATCCTTCGGCTTTAAGAATTTCCTGAACTTCCTAGCAAAAGCCGCCATATACTCGTCAGTTAAAAGAATAGAAGGGTCAAAATTATTTACCTGAGAGGTGCTGGCAGTGAGGGCAGTAGTTGTTCTGTCCTCAACCTCTTCTTTCTCTTCTTCATTCATCTCAAACTCATAAGACTTGAGATCAGAGATGAGTTTCTCAGTGCTGTAGGTTCTGAGGTCCTTGCTATCTCTCATGGCAGTGACCTTCATCTTCCATGGTGAAGGTAAACCTCTGAGAACCTTTAAATTGATCTCCTTGGGAGTAAGTTCCTTCCCAAGTTCTGATATCTCAGAACTTGGGAAGGAGCAAGCGTGCATACATCTCAGCTATGCATTCTTTGGGTAGAAGTTTGAAATCTTCAAACTTCTTCATGGCAATAGTAAGTTTGTTGTCCTTTTCTTGCTCGTCTCCAGCTCCTATCAGGGTGAGAGTATCCCAGATTTCCTTGGCAGATTTGCACTTCTTGATCCTTGTGAAGTACTTGTCATCAATGGCCTTGTAGAGGATATCCTTGGCAATGTTGTCAAGGTTGTACTTTCTCCTTTCTTCATTAGACCATTCATGGCGCAGTTTGGTGATCATCTGGGGTTGACCACTACCAGTGATGTATTCAGGGTTGACCTTGGTGAACTCTGTGAAAGGTCCTGCATCAAGAACTTCCCACATTTCGTCATGGAGTGCGCAGAGGTGAGCTTTCATGCGGATCCTCCAGTCATCAAACTTTGTTACTGAGAACATAAGATTCTTTGAAAGAGTGTTATCCATAATATGAGATTAAAGAGGCTAAAACAAGTGGATCTCTTGTTTAGTAAGTAACCTAAAAGATTACAAGAACAAGGAGGCTCTGATACCACTTGTTGGTCCCGTTTGTAATGGGAACAGTCTATAGGGGGGGGGGGGGGTGAATAGACTGTTCAGGAATTTAAACTTTTCTCCAAGTCAAGTATGACTTATCAGAGATGGTCGAAATCTGGTGACAGAGATGGTCAAGTTCTGATGGCAGAACTAGACCAGGCAGCGGATAAGTTTCTGTCCGGGTAGCCTCTAGAAGAAAGCTAAGGCAAAGTGCCTTTCTGATAACTCTGAAGGAAGATCTACTGGACACAGAGTCCAACCTTAAGAGTTAGTCAGTAGAATCTTAAGTGCAGAAAATAAAAGCTGAAAGTAAATGACACCGGGGTTTTTATAGTGGTTCAAGGAACAACTCGTTCCTCTAGTCCACTGTTCCACTAAGCTTGCAAAAACAACAGTTTACAACGCCTTAGTCCCTAGAGCTTAAGAAGCACTCCTCGTCTTCTTCAAGTCTAGTTGCCACCCGGGATGCAGTCCTGCTTCCTGATGGCTGGTCTCGTTTCACTGAGTTTCTTGAAGTATCCCCACTTCACTTACTCCAGCTAATTTGAGACGTCCCTTCTTTTTCAAGAAGTGTTTGATATAGAATCAGTTTTCTCCAACGTTGCTTCTTCACAAAAGATGAGTATATGAAGCTCTCGAAGTGTTGAAGAACTGAGTAACTTTGCCTTTGCTAGTTGGATGAAGGATAGGAAAGTTTATCTTCCAACTGTGGCCTTTTCTTGTTAGGAATGGAGTTTTAATCTCAAGAAGGTTATTTACGCAAATTTATCTTGGCAAAAGTTATGGCAAAGTTATCTTCTTAGTTTTTCAGAGTGTATCTTATATACTGGGAGCAGTCTTCCCGTTGGAGTGTAGAAGACAGCTTCATTAAATGCATGTACTGTTGACTTGACCGTTTAGTCCTCCGACTTGCTATTTTGGGGGCGTAAAGATACTCGCATGGTCAATCATCAGCTTTAAATATCTCTTCGTACGTACAGCATTAAATGTGCATTTAATGCGTGTACAGTGCCATGCTTCCGTTGAAAGGTTTGTAACCGTTAGGGGATTTCCCGTTAGTTTAACGACCGTTGGAAGGGCTTCCGGAATCTGGTGTTATTAAGCAGAGTCTTAAGAGATTCTCTGGTCCAATCTCTTAAGTCCGTCTCTGTTGCCAACTCTGGTATCTTTCTGATAACCAGTTTCTGATGGCTTCTCTGGTGAGCAACTCTGGGAGCAACTCTGGTAGAGGCAAGATGGAACTCTGGCAGGCAGACTAAGCTAAAACTTACAAAAGAAATTCTAATACACAATTTCTAATGGGGTACTTTCAAATTCTAATAAACCTAGCATCATCAAAATCTAAATACATTTATTCCTTACATATAGCTTATTTATACACATGCTTGATTAAAATATCTTCCAGATATGTAATAGCTAAGTATTCTCTACATGCATATTGCCATTTACATAAAAACATTTGATATGCTACTTATCATCTTTTATATATGCTTATTGTATACACAATGACTATGCAATATAAAAAGATTGCTTACCAACTAAATAAGATTGGTTGAATCTAGGAGACAAAAATTTCAGAAAATGGAACAAATATATAGGGACTTCCCATTTCAATGGAGTCACACAAAGGTTGCACATGAGTGGAGAATTGAAAGTTTAATCTATAGTCATGTGTTGAAACTTGAAGTCTTGTAGTCTCCCTCTTCTAAAACTACTTCCAAACCTTTCAAAATGTAAGACTTGGACTCCTCCAAAAGCCTCTCGAACTTGTATATCAATGTATTTTTAAACATAGCATGAATTTTTGTTCCCTACAACAAATGACATTATTTTGACAATGAAAGTATAAAACTGTAAACTAATAGAAGTTAAAAGTAAATCTGTAACGCAAACCAGTATGCCTAGCAAAGAAATAGGTATACCGCTTCATCCATGAAAACCATGTCCAAAGAAAATGGAATCTTTGAAGCATTTTGACCAAAAGAATTCCACAATCGTATTATCTTTACTTTGATAGTGAATGCATTCGTTTCAGGTGCTATAGCAGATAAGGATGTCTGAACAACAGCCATTGCAAAGGAGGTAAAGGGAGGATGATAAGAAGTAGTGAAAACAAAGTGCCAATTACAATATTTATATTAGAAACTGAATAGGGTTTCTTTCACAATTCCAATTCTTAAATCTTACTTTCATAAGTACCTACTGGTTGGAGTTGGAAGGTCAAAAGGTTTTTCTTGTGTATAATTGCTTAAAAAAAGATGCAGACACATGAGATTAATGCATACTCCATCTGTACGTGTAAAATATATTTTACTTATGCAACCCATGTAATTGCTATGGTGCCACATGCCAATTTTTAGAGTTTCCTTCATTAATGTAGAATGTTAGGTTTGTAACCTATAAAGCTTTATTGTATGACAGTTTTTGCCAATACCACAATTGTTTATTGGGAGGAGTTTTGGAAGATCAAGGATTTTTTTCTTATGTGCATAAGTGCTGCAGACATGTATATGGGATATGAGTTTCATTTATGCAATCCATGTAATAATTGTTAGACACATTATTAAGATGCCACATGTCAATTATTGTTACAAATGGATTGCCACATGTTGATTTACATTCTGCGTGCTTCCAAAACATTATAAACATTAATTTATGCTCTTCTTACTTATAATGATTTAATGATTTATTACTCCGTTTATAACTCTTTTCTCTTTCCAAGCATTTATATAATTTTATGAAATTTTAATGCTATTGTTAATGTAAACATCTACTCGTAATAATTTGACAATTTTGGAGAGGATCGATTTTTAAGGCCCAAATATTTTAAAGAAGAAATCCGCCCAACTTGATCAGCCCAAAACTCTTCTTCCGCTCTTCAGTTCCGCTCATCGACAGTTTGACATCATCATCCTCATCTCCAGTCTTCTTTCATCTCACCATGGCTCACTGTAGGGTGTAGCAGCTGGCAATCGCCGCGCACAGCGTATTCCTCCGCTGCACGCTCCTCCCGAAGCTTAGACGATTGGTAAGTGCTCACACCATTAGCTTTGTTAACTGGTTAATTTCCATCGAACTGATTTGCATTAGGCAAATCCAACATTTTAAACTTTTTAAGCCTGAGACTTCAATTCGGCGCCCCTGTCTGCTACATTACCTACATATTTCGAAAGTTTTGACTGTTTGTTTTAAGTTTATACTTTCACCTTTATTTTTATATTTTTAGCTTTTAGTGTTTTGCTATGAACATGATTTAGTATCGGTGTTTAGTTTTGTTTTGTGTGTGTGTGTGTGTGTTAACCTTTATCTTCTATCTCCTGCCCTGGTCCGCTAGGCCCACTAAGGCTAAGTGATAGAGTCAGGACGAAAGAATCCGTATAGTAGTCACTAGTCAGTTAAGTTAGAGTGACTTTCGGTTACAGGGCACCAGATGGGAGGAAGAAAGAAAGAGCTAATCTTTCGAGCAATTTTTTTTAATTTTCTTATGATATTTCTAGTTAGAGAGAATCAGTTCAATTCCTATGATATTTCTAGTCAGATTTCATGTTGTTTTAGCTGTTGTTTTTTGGATATGTCAATTCCATTGTTTATTATTAATCTACTAGTATTGATGTGAATGTGCTTTGTGAGTATTAATAGCATTATTAGTATTAATGTGATGTGTGATTGTTTATCTCATTATTTAGTATTAATCATATATTTCCATTAGTTGTTGTTATTATTTATTTCATTATATTGTATTTGATATAAATATAAATATCATGAATGATAAATTGAGCAATCGAATAAGTGATAAGTGGCTCAATAATGATAGGCTTCTTGTATACGTAGAAAAAATATATCTTTATGAACTCTAAAAATGATTTCATTGTCAATCTATCATTTTCATTTACCCCAGTGCCGCAAAGGCTCCTACCTACGGTGGGGTAAGGGGGGGTCGGATGTACGCAGTCTTACCCCTGTACTAAAGCACAAAGAGACTGTTTCCGGATGACCCATAGTGAAAATCGCGTCCAAAATTGCATGGACTGACTGCTGCTTCATAACAAAGAAGCGCAGACAGTTTAGTGAGCCATTTTGCTTTATTCCATCATAATCTCAAGCCAAAAAATAATGAATCTTTGGCTCCATTGCAAATGATGGAAAATATTTCATTGTCAATCTATATAATCTCTAAAACTGTAGCGAACAATTGTGATTCTGCGAATTTGTGATTTCCTTTTGTAATTGGCTTTGATGAAAACTCTTATCCATGTAAACCTTTACATATTTATTATTGTACAATACTATTTATGTTGCAATTGAAGTTAGTATACACACACACACGCACACACTAAACTTTGTCCCTCTGTGGACCAAAATGCTAGATCCATTGTTCCCTACAAGTGATTTCTCCACAGGTTTTGCGTTTCTGTGCCTAACTGATTCAGATTAGACATGAATTCCAGTTTTACTGACACATTCATTTATATCCTTTTGCATTTCTGATTTGGTTGAACTATGAAATTGAACCTTCATTCCAATTCAGCAATGCTTATCTTTTTTGTTCTGCAGAAACCCTTAAACAATGAGAATAGCTTTTACTTTCTGCTCGCGCAATCTCCACCACCTATGTCACACTATCAAACACCGTAATCACATTAGCTCAAGAACCAATGGTGTTATCAACGCTCAGCTTCAAAATCCTTTTGCTTCCAAGCTGAGGTTTTTCTCATCGGCTGAAAATGAAAGCCCTGGGAAGCTTGAACTTGCTTCCCAGCCTGAAGAAACCAGCTTAGCTCTACCAAAGAAAACTCAGCTGCCACTTAAGGTTGAAGATGTCAGCAATACAGGTTTGGACTTGTTTTCAGAAAGTATTTTTTCTGTTTGCTTTATCATATTTTGAACTTTTATATTTTTGACAGATCATAAATTCTTGAGTTCTCAAAAAAGTAGTGCTTACGTTTATATTGTAGTGAAGTAAAATTTTTCCAGTTTGCTGTTATAGAGTATATTATATATAGAGATTTAGAATTTGTAGTTGAGGGAGTTATATATTTTATCGTTGAAACAGTGGGAAAAAAATATCGTTGAAACAATGGTTTTTAAACTTAGTAATCGACTTATTGTAGGAAGAAATACAACCGATCCACTTTTTCACGTCACTTTCACTTCTTATTCTATATTTTCAGAGCTGAAAGGGTTGCTGCAAGACTACTTCAGCAATGACAAAAATGATGTTCTCCCCAATATCATTGAAGCCATTATGAAGAGGAAATTACATGGAAAGCATGATGACACTGATGATGAGTTATTGGAAGATTTCCGAATGAACCGACTGGAACCTGTTGATAATGTTAACGATGAAGAATTTGAAGAAGATTTTGAAGAAGCCCATTCAACAGATGAAGATATTGATAATTTGTATGATGCAACAAGTATTGTGACGAAGAGAATGGGACAAGATGAGTATTTCAACATGGATGAAAGAAAATGGGATGATATGATTAGAGAGGCTGTTGCACATGGACATCTCAAGGATACCAAGGAGTGTGAAGAAATTTTAGAGGACATGCTTCACTGGGATAAGCTTCTACCTGGTACTCTAAATTATTGTTATCCAAAACAACAAATCAGAAATATTAGGTTGGGTGTATTAACCTTAACCAGTTAATCATTTTATACTTCAAGAACGACACTATCATACAGGATTCCCAACTACTGAAATAGAAGAACACGTTTTATCTGCTGACTTATAGGATGAATGTGTGTGCTATAGGTCTGTTATTGCAGCTATTGCATTCCTGGAGCTGTCAATTTGGACAATAGGTCTGCTGTATGAGCGTTAGGGTAGACTATATATTTCTGCATCTTCACTGAGAAACTCATGCATAGTCACAGACTCACAGAGTCACAGTAGGGTAGTTTGTAATTAGTGAGTGTGACATTTTATTATTGAAACATTACCCCTTTCATTATATAATATTATAATATATCTGTAACTTCTTTAAAATTTTTCCAAATCACAAACAAACTTGCAGCGCTAGAAGTCAACCCCTCTGTGCTGTGCTGTACTGATGGGTGGTACCTCCGTGGTGGGTGTTTGTGTTTCTGACTCCCACTATTGGGGGGAGAGTTGCTCAAGTTGCTCAAGTTGATATTTAGTTCAAGGCAAATGTAAAATTAGTAAAACAAATGAAACAATAAAGTATAGAAGGATTGCAGCCTTAAGTAATATTCTAGTCAGTTGTTATATACAAGATCATCTGTTACCATTTTAGCTGACTGAAATGCTGACTTAGAAGTATATATTAAGATGCTTCACTTGGTTTGTGTTGCTCTGCCTCTAAATAATGAAATAATGTACGCTAGAATTTATTTGTTGACCATAAGCTTTTCAAAAATCCTTTATGCTGTGTTGCTGTCCTATTAAATAGGAAACTTTTCCAAAGACCAAAGTATACAAGAGTTTTTCCATACAAAGGAGGAATACTCACCCCCCTAAATACTACATAGTAGTAAAATGTTGTCACCCTGAAATTGTACTGCCATATTATGGCATAATCAGACATGGCAATACCTAATCCTATTTAGTGGGAAAATATAGTACTCATATTTTGGGAAAACATCTTGTTTTGCTCCTATTTAGGGCAATTTCTTTTATTAAATCTTGTCAGATCACTTCAAGGACAATTATATTTGCTGTAGTGTTTTCTTTTTTCTGTCAGTACCATCGAATAGCATAATCTAGGGCCCCATTAAGGGTGGCATTGAGTTGATAGTTTTTTGTTGTGTGATTTTAAATTAAAGATGCACAACACATGTTACAATAAACCGATACTACTCATGCATATAGTAATCATGTTAATTTCATTAACTCTAAACAAAAAATTGAAAACTACTTTTTCTGTTTTCCATAATGCCGAGTACAATTTTTTAGTTTTTCTTACAAACAATTGAAAACTAAATCCGCCCTGAATGTGGCTTAAATTTCCTTTCATTTTCTCTTTTCCTCCAAAATACTTTCGGGTCTTCATTTTTTGTGTGATTATAGGTTGGTCCCCAAAAACTCTATGATACATTGGTTTTAATCTTTTCTTTTTTTTTTTACAGATGAGGTTAAGATGAAGGTTGCTGAAAGGCTTGATGAGATATCTGACATGGTTGAAAAAGGTGAGCTTGAAGCTGAAGAAGGTTATAAATTGTACAAGGAGTTTGAGGATCAAATGGTTCTAGAATGTACTAAACATGCGGAGAAGGAGACTCTGCAATTTGATGGATCTTCCATTGCTGATACGAAAAAGGATGTGGATGACCCACCTGGGGAGGGGCCGATTCTTAGGTGGCAAACTAGGGCAGTTTTTGCTCCAGGTGGTGATGCATGGCACCCAAAGAACAGAAAGGTGAAATTGGCTGTCACAGTCAAGGAGCTTGGTCTTTCCAAGCATCAGTTTCGCCGCTTGAGAGAATTGGTTGGAAAACGTTACCATCCTGGGAGAGATCAACTTACTATCACGAGTGAAAGGTTGTATATGTCAACTTTGTTAATTATTAAGACTATTATGTGATTGTCTTGCTGTTGGTAGTGGCATCTCATTGTTAACCCGGGTTTTGGTTCTCTAGAAATGCACTTGGCTGTTTAAGTTTTAAAGAAATTGCCCTAAATAGGAGTAAAAACGTTTTGAAATTCCAAAATAGGAGCACTATGTTTTTATTTCCTAAATATAGAATAATTATAGTTATGCTTGGGAAATGCTGCGAATTATGGCAGCAAACTGCCGTATTTAAAGCATGGTAATACAGAAATATGGTACTAAATTTTCAGGATGATTGTAACGCACACATATTTTCCGGAAAAACATAAACTCCTTTTTTGGAATTTGCAATGTTTTTACACATATTTTGAGAATTTCTCCTAAGTCTTACTATATGCTCCATTCGTCATATAGTTTTTCTTCCCATTTTCCCTTTTGATATCCCAAAAATTTCTTCCCATTTTTGAATTGGCACGCTCCTTAATAAAGAAGAAACTGAAGGTTGTGAGATGAAAACAAGTATCTGCATGTTTGAAAAACAAGTTTCATTCTTCAATATGGCCTTGATTTTTGCACCCTTGTTTTATCAGGTTTGAGGATCGTGAAGAGAACAGAAAAGATTGCCTTAGGACTCTATTATCCTTAATTGAGGAGGCTGGCAAAGCAAATAAATTAGTAGCGGATGCTCGTGCTGCATATGTGAAACAGAGACTGAAAATGAATCCACAATTCATGGCGAGATTGCATGCGAAGACATCTATGATGAAATTTACCTTTTAATATGCACGATACATCAAAAGGTAAATACTACCGAGTATAATACATTTTGTCTTTGTAGTCATAAAATTCAAGCATATTTTTCAAGCTTATCACAAAATGCAAGGTCAACTTGAGTTTCCCTGGTGTGTGTGTGATTTCCTTTGGTGTTTATGGCTGGCTTTTATGATTTTAGAAGATATTTTTTTAAGAAATCCTTCTACATAATAGCAGTACTTTATGGAATTCATATTTCCGCTCAAGTACCCAAAGCATCACTGTCATACGATTAAAAGCGATCTAAAGCACCTCAAAACTAACATTTCAGAGCCATCCCCACTTTCTCTTAATTGATCGGTCTAGAACAAAACCTTTTGTTCAGATTCATATCTACGCAGCCCTACCATCCATCCCAATCTTCTTTATCCATACATCTCATCCCCGAAATTAGGGCAGAGGGCTATGAAAATCAACATCACCATCAGAAAGGCAGATGCTTTCCTTTATCCTTCTGGAAGTACACCACCATCAAAGTTCTTTCACCTCTTTGCTTAAAATCTCACAATAAGGTAATTTATTTCTTCCTAATTTAGTTTCAGATTACGAAAATTTCAGTTCCAGGTTTCTTACAATTTATTGATGTACTAACTTTAGCCTGAATTATGTTTTTACTGATTCTTTCAGTTTATATAAAAGATATTTGATGCTCTTCTTTCTTCATATGGACAGTCATCCTTTTTCTTGGCTTAAAATATATTTTTGGAAGGTAAATTCATCTTTTCTTGCTGTGATTTTTGCAACAAGGTAAATTTAGCTTTCCTATTTGAACTCATATCATTTTCAGTTTACAAAAAGAATCCTCATAATTTTAAAAAAACTTTTAAAAACTAAGTTCATGCCACCACACACAAATATTATGCTTCACTTACCTGGGGTATTAAATGATACACATAGTTTAGTGATCGACTGCATTATTGATTAGGCATTCTTTATTTGGTGAATAATAATGGAGATGAGGGAATTCAAAATAAGGTTTATGATAACCATGTTACGTGAAGTGATTTATTTCTTGTATGAGCATGAACAATTTTTGATAGATCTTCTGCACTATTTAATAACCTTAAAACTTTGATAAGAATGAATCCACATATAAATTTAAGAGTTTCATGGATGGGTTGGTGGTAATTTAAATCATTTTGCATTTCATTTAAATCAAGGAGCATGGACAATTTAAGAAGCTAGATTTTCCAGAAAATTTTCCAGTTTGCTTTCTCACATATTTCATCTACAAAACTTTCCAGTTTGTTTTTATTTATATTTCCAGAAACTAGATGCACCGTTTCCTCTATTTTCTATTCAATATTTACAAAAATAAAACTCTTATCCAATTAATCTTAAATTCTCATTATTATGAATATTACTATTTTTATATGTATTTTTCTATTTTATGTATTTCAAGGTGTGTAACACTAGGCATATTTCAATTTATGTAGCTCTCTTTACGATTCAAAATCGTAACTTTCTCGATAGATATTGCTATCTTTTGCTTTCACTTCATGAGATTCATTGAGCTTATTCAATAGATGCAAGTAAGAGTGCATGTGACCCAACATTTTGAAACATGTTCTCTCTTTTATAATAGTTTTCCATAACCCAACATTTTCAGCATATATTTCCCTCTGTAATTTTTGAAAACCTGATATATGGCTGGTTCACTATCACCATGAGCAAGCCCATGTTTACAGCATCTTTCCCTCATATCACATGTTCTTATATGTATTTAATTATTTATGCGTGCTTCTCTTTTCCAATGGTGCATCAGTATTTACCAAAGCTCTCAAGTATGGTAAAAATGTTGCTGCTGATATGTATTTAGGCTTTTGTGTTGAAATTGTGTTAAAGGGATAACTTACTAAGGATTTTAGTCCAAAATTCATTGGATATATGCACAGATGAAAATCGCACTATGTGATTTGCAAGACTGAATCGTAAACTTAATTTACAAAAATATTTGAATAGTTCAAACCTCAAATGACACCTTTATTCTTCACAGTGAAGAGAGGGATTTTGTTTGACCACTGGACAGTTGTGAAAAGTTTACTCTCCTATTTATCTTAAAAGATTGTTGACCCTTACTTAGTGGCTTAGTGCTATTAATGGCGGATGGCTTAAAATCAGCCATATAATTTTATAACTCACCATAACTTACAATTCTTCACATATTTCATAGGGCAGAGATAGCCTATATATTTCTACAATTGCCATCCTCCTAGGTGCTGCCTTGTTCGTAGTTAATTAGTGTTTACCGTCGCTCCTTGCTGTTCAATTTCAACCCTATGCGTACACATACATAAGAACCGGATGAGTTCAGAAGCACCCGTCTGAGCGCCCCACTTGCTTTCTGTATTTCTGTGTAATGGCTGTGCTGTTATTTCAATTTACACGAGTAGTTTTCTCCATGCCGTGCCTTCCATTGCCGCCCATTGATTGTGCCATTTGTGCGTGCATTTATATGATATTAGAAAGTACAACTTTTTCCCTCTGATGGTTAAATTCCTTCACATGTGAGTGTTTAGCTTTTATTTTAGTGTTTCACTAAGGTTGCATCAAGTGTGGTGTTTGTCAAAACTAACCGTGCTTCAATATACTCAATGTCTTCAAAAGTTTCTTTGGACCCATCAACCTCGCTCTGAATATTTTTTATTAGAAAGCATATAATAATTTGTAGTGTTTTCAACATAGATGTTCATTAAAACTAAATTGTATGAAGTTATACGCTTATAGTCTTGATTATATATCTATTGAAGAAAACCATGATTAGAAAGGAGAACATCAGAGGGAAATGGAGATAGTTGTTTTTAGGGGGTGCTTTCAAACAATTCTTGATGACCAACCTGTTTTTTATTATCAAAGTCTAGACTACTATGTATTCTTAGACCTGTTTATCTATATATAGAGAGAGTAATGACCCTCCCAGCCGGATGGACAGGACCCTCCCAGCCGCTTCGGTTTGGGGTGGTTCCCGGTGGAATTTTTTGATGAAATTTTTTGAGCATGTTTTTCATGAAGTGTATATTATGTACAAAAAATTTCAGCATAAAATTCAATCGGGAAGTCAGTTAAATAAATTATTAAAACATACTGCATCAAATTATATATATAAAAGCACAGTGTTTTTCAATGATTTATTTAATTGACTTCCCAATTGAATTTTAATCTGAAATTTGATTCACATAATCTACACTTCATAAAGAACATGCTCAAAAAATTTCATCATAAAATTTCGCTGGGAACCCGCCCCCAAACAGCGGCAGCCGGATGGAGGATCCTGTCCAGATGGCTGGACGGGATATATTCCTATATATATATATATATAATGGATTCCTGATAATAAGGTCAGAATTCCAGATATTACAGCCTTGAACAATGAAAAAGTTCAGAAAAAAATATACGGAGTAATAGTATATAACTATAGCTAGACAATTTCGAAAGTGCCCATCTCTCCTGCCCAGATCCAACTGACTACCAGTCTGCTTTCTCTTCCCTCCAATCTCTGGCTTTATTCTTCCTCCAAGTCTGCCACCTCAGGTATTCTGTTACTACCTCCGTCCCAAATTGGTTTGCAAATTTGACTTTTTTTGGAGAGATTTTAATGATTTGACTTTTTTTGGTCAAACAGTTTCATTTTATTCGCTTTATTAGGATGTCAATTTTTAATTATATTCTAATTTGGAGTTTGCAACTTTGAAGAGATTTTAATGTAGTTTCTAAATATGTAAATTTTAATTATTAAAAATTGAATTAATTATCAATAGAGTGGATTGACTTTTATTATTGGTTGACCAAAAAATGTTGACTTTGCAAAACAATTTGGGACGAATGAAGTATTTTATTCCCTCTACTTTCAGCTGCCTCATTTACCTTTTTGCCCCTCCTTTTATAGACTATTGGGAAGCCCCTATTATAATTAATATCAGGGATGCCCTAACTATCTGATACTCTATCAGTAAACTTCTCAATCAAATAACAATTATACTTTTCTGTGCCTTTGTAATATTAAGCTAAGGAGAGATGTGTGTGGCATGATAAAGCAACAAAACTCGGCAATTTAGCATATCTTAAAAGTCACTTTGAAAGTGTTATTACTAAAAGTCACTTTTTAGCTTTTTAAACATTTGCAATTTTAAATATTTTGGTTTTGGGTTGTGTGATTTTGATAATTGATATTGATATGATTTCAGCTATGTGTCCATAATTGAGTCGTCATTTCATATCACAACAAGGTGGACTGAAAGTAATACACATTTTTTATAGTTCACAAGTCCTTTTTACTTGAGTTTTTGCCACTTTCAATCCCTTGACTATTGTGTCTGACACTTTTGATAATCGACTTTCAATTTTTTCATTTTTAATCCTCAATTATTGTGCACGAGGCACTTTTAGTCCTCGACTTCAAAGTTTCTCACATTTAGTCTCCAGAATATTATCGAATTGACACTTTTAGTCCTTTCACTATAATTTTGACATAATAAAAAATGTCACTATTATAATAGTTGAAGGACCACAAGTTTCAATTATATGAAAGTCAAAGGACTAAATATGGAAATTTACAAAGACGGGCATCAATAGTGGGAGGATTAAATGTGGAAAAATTCAAATTCGAGTACCAAAAGTGTCAATGACATAATAGCCAGAGGACTAAAAGTGGTAAATCTCTTTTTACTTATATCCTTTCTGCTTTGCTAATCATCCATGTCTCACCTCTACGCAAAGTAGAAATCACTTGAAGGAGAGGACTTTAATTGATTTTGTCGAAAGGTAGCTTTATGATAAAGGTCATGTCAGATCTGCAGAAGTCAATTTTGTGGATCTCTATTCCATAATAGTGTTTTTCAAGTTTTCCCAACATTTAAGATTCAGAAACCAATTGAGGTATTTGTGATTTTTTTGGAGTTCTGTTCCATGTTGGTTGAATGTGTTTCTTTTACTTGACGTTTCTAAGGTCATGTTTATCATGAATGCAAATCATTCTATATAATAGCACTATCACCCTGTTATTCATTTTCTTGCCCATGGTTAGTGTTTTTCCCAGCCTTTTGATTGCAATAACTATATTCTAATCCTTTAAAGAATCAGCCTAATTTATTTGGCTTCATAACAATAGGGGACTTTGTTCTCCTCCAACCAACACCTGACTAGATGCTGTGACAATTTCTTTCTTTTTTAGAGTTGTGACCAATCTTAAAGGAGGTGAGCAGCGGCTGCAGTACCTGCATTGGTGCGTGTATTACCTTTTTATAAAAATACATCACCGGGGCACAGACTTTTTTTTTACACCTCCAGGGCATAGACTTAGACATGGTGTTGATGTTATGATATTTTATGTGTCTCTCTACCATTATACTAATACTTCGAATGACTTGATCACTTTTTACAAAAACAGAAAAATGAAAAAATAAATTGGCCCCTGTTTGAACTTTTAAGCATTCATCACAAGCTTGGTAAGAGGAATTTTCATTTTAATACCAGAAAAGTATTATGGTTTATTTGGGACTAATAGTAGTTGTTAGTTGACATAAAGATTACTGATCCATATATGTCTACATTTTCCAGCATATACCTTCTGTCCTTGGGCAAAAGATCCAGTCCTATCTGACAAGAAGCTTCAACAACTCCTATAGTCCAATAGTCACCCAGAAAATCTAAAACACCACTAGTAGTTGTGAATGCCAAACAATGTCACACCAATTTGGCGACACGAATACATTTTTGATTCAACATGTAACTATTAGAAATTGCTCTAAGTAAGAGCAAAAACGTTTTGAAATTCCAAAATAAGATTATCATGTTTTTTATTCCCTGAATTAGGGGTGGACCGGTTCTGGTTCGGGCCCGGTTCGGGCCCGGTTCGGGCCTCGGTTCAAGAAGGGGAGGCCCGGAATCGGCCCGGGTAACCCCCGGGTCCGGGCTGGGCCTCGGTTCTTTTTTTTTTTTGGCTTTTCCTAGTTTACCCCCAACCCTCCCCCTCACCCCCAAACCAACCCTAACCACCTCAAATGGCCCAAAATACCTAGCCCAACCCAAAAACTTAAAAAAATTCAAAAAAAAAAAATTGGCCTGGCCCGGGCTCGAACCGACCGGGCCGGTTCACCTTTTGAAGGGCTCGAGCCCGAACCGCCATCCCATCGGGCCGGTTGGCCCGAACTGGGCCCGGAACCGGTTCACCGGTCCGGGCCGGGCCCGCACAGTAGCGGGCCGGCCCGGTTCCGAGCCGGTTGGCCCGGCCCGAGTCCACCCCTACCCTGAATAGGAGTAACCTGCCAAGTTTGGACAAAAATGTCATGTTTAAAGCCTAATAATGTCAAACTTGGCAGAAATGTACTCCTATTCAAGGAATAACAAACATGATAGTCCTATTTTGGAATTTCAAAACTTTTTTACTCCTATTTAGGGAATTCTCTCATCACTACGGTTGATTATTCTTTTAAGTTTAAGGTTTACTCCTGTCGCCTTGGTTTAACGTTGCCAAACCATATTTGTGAACTTAAAACTAGGGTTGACCATAATCCGGACGACCAAAATTGGACTAGACTGGTCAATCAAGACTAGACTCGGACTGGATAGATATCAGGTCTTTGGTCCAAGGGCTTTACCAATTCTGGTCTGGTCTTCGGTCCATGGGCTTTATTGATTCCGATTTCGGTCCGGTCCAAAATCTGGAATTTTGCGGTCCGGATCGGTTAGATTGAAATTAAATTATTATATATATACATATATAAATATATTTTATATATGTATTAAAATTGTACACACAGACACGTGCACAGTACATTAATTATGCTACTTAAAAAGTACATTAACTAAGTGGGTCAATACTTAAAACATTAACCCAAGTTACATATGTAGTATCATTACACATTTACATTAGCAAAGTTTTGTAGCATAAAAACATTAGGAGTTAGAATTAGGGATGGATTCGGTTCGGGCCACCCGGCCCGGCCCGGTACTGTGCGGGCCCGAACCGGTGGGAAGGGCGGGGCGGGCTCGGTTCAGCATTTCTGTGACCCGGCCCGGGTCCGGTTTTTTTGTTTGGGCTCCTACTAGCCGTTGGGGGTGGGGCTGGGGACAACGCAAACGGCTATATAGCCGTTGGGTGGGGTAAAGGGGGGGTCCGGGGGGGTTGGGTGGTGGGGGGGGGGGGGGGTTGGTGGGGGGGGGGGGTAAAAAAAAACCTATAAATACTCCTAATCTTAAACATTTTTTCACATCTCTTCTCCAATTCTTCCTATTCTTATCTCTCTACTCTCTAATTCTCTTATTCTCCAATATATTATATATCTAGTTATCTACTCTCATATTCTCTTCTCCAAGAAGTTAAGATGGAAAATCAAAATGCCATTATACGGTATAATTTTGATAAGCAGAAGGACCCGAAGACCGGGATGTGGTACGCAATTTGCAAATGGTGCAAAAAAAAATGTATAATGGGGGCTTCAGGCGGATTCGGGATGGCAATCAAGCATATGAAGTCATGTGACAAAGCCAAAGGATCGGGAGGTGCAGGAAGTTCCGATTGATTACAATTTTCAAAATGTTTATCTGTTATATGTAGTTCCTATTTCATTTCAAATAAATGCAATTGAAGTTTGTTTTTAATACTCGTATAAAACTATAAACTATAAATATAAATTATATAAAAAAAAAATAACCGGCCCGGCCCGAACCGGACCCGACCCGTGACCCGGGCGGGTGGCCTGGCCCGAACCGGACCCGTCCAACCCGCGGGCCGGTCCCGGCCCCCGGGCCCACTTTTCTTGAACCGGCGGCCCGACCGGGCCTAGGCCCGGCCCGGGCCCGACCCGGCCCGAATCCATCACTAGTTAGAATGGTGCATTGTGTTTACTTGGTTTAATCATTATACATAGCGTGACTAATTGAATTCATCTTTTTTAAATACGTAAAGTTATTATGTCAATCATTCACTAAATTCGTTGAGCAAGTAACATTAGTTTCATGTACTTGTGATCATGCATAAATTTTAGTCAAAATTGAATTACATATTTTTCATATTTTCACTAGGCATAGTTCATGTATTTATTTCTAGTTATTTGATGTATTATAATGTATGTTATATTGATTAAAAGACACATAAAAAATGCAATTCATACATATAAAAGAATAAAATAGAACTAATTACATACTAGTATAAAACATCATAAATAATGCTTTGCAATAGAAACAATGAGCTTGAAAGTAAAGTTTTGGATAATCAAAACTATTTTTTTAAAAGATGTAACATTGTAAAACAATAATCGGTCCAAAATAATTGGTCCTGGACTGAAACTATATAGGTCCGGTTTGTGATCCATTTTTTTTGAGAATTCTGATTTCAGTTCAACCTGTTTCGGTCCAGTTGTTACTAAATAGCAACGAATAAACAAAAATAATATTAGTATTAAATATTTCCAAAAAAGAGACTTATATGACTTTTATACCTTCCGAGTTATAGTTTACAGTTACTTGATCCAAGTAGTTACAGTTATCTGATCCAACAATTATCCAATTTGACCCATTACAATTATCCAATTCAATCAACTACAGTAACCAAACCAAATCATTACAGTTATTCGATCTGACCAATTACAGTAACAATTTTCCTAATTGAACAGTTACAGTTACCCGTTTTGATAGTGACCACTGCTAGCCACCATTAGGGGTGGACTCGGGTCCGGGCCGGGTCCGGGTCCGGGTCGGGCCTAGGCCCGGCCGGGCCTAGGCCCGGCCGGGCCGGCGGTTCATGAATGGTGGACCCGGGACCGGCCCGGGTAGCCACCGGGTCCGGTCCGGGCCGGGCCGGGCCTCCGGTTTGGATTTTTTTTTTTTGCTTTCCTAACCCCCCCTCACCCCCCCCCCCCCCCCCCCCAAACTCCCCCAAACCCATCCTACCCATCAAGCCCAACCCGGGTGGAACCCCAAAAATGAAAAAAAAAAATAAAAAAAATTCAATTTGGCCCGGGCCCGGGCCTGACCCGGCCGGGCCGGTTCACCAAAATTGAGACCCGAGCCCGGACCCGCCCTACCCCCCGGGCCTAGGCCCGGACCCGAGAACCGGGCCGGTCCCTGTCCCGCACAGTAGCGGGCCGGGCCGGTCCACGGGCCGGGTGGCCCGACCCGAGTCCAAGCCTAGCCACCATCAGTAACCACCGCTGACCACCACCATCACTGATTGTTACCCCCACCATTTGTGACAGCTGCCGCTCTTAACTAACCGACCACCCCGCCTATGATCACCTAGCCTCCTCCAACCCTAACCCCCCACCATTAGATGAAATCTATTGGCCAGGGTCATTTTGAGGTTAGATAATGATTGTAATCGTCGGTGATGAAGTAAAAAGAAAATCAACATAAATTTCAGAGATATAAAATAAAATGTACTACATTGTCGAGACGAAAAATATATTTATACTACTAGCTCTGTCCTGCTATGATTGTCCCATTTTATCTATCACTTTGTCCCACTAAAATTATCCCATACCAAATTTGGTAAAATTTGTGTAGTTTTAAATCATTCTTACTTTATTTTTACTTTATCAATTCAATATCAACCACATAAACCACTTTTAATTAATTTGCGTGTCAATCCCTCTTGTCTCATTGTTAGCGGGACGGAGGGAGTAATAACTTATCATAATAAATTTGTGTTACATATGTTCAAAATTATTAGAGATAAAGAGCCCGTTCGGTGGCCTTGTTTTTCGGCTTATCAGACTTATTAGTCAACTTTTTTCATCAAACACATAACTTTTGATTTCGCGCGCGCTGAATTGTATAATAATAAGATTATATGTTTTTTCACAATTATAATTTTAGAGTATTAATTGTTTTTAATCAAACGAATCTTCAAATACCTCAAAGAAACTATGAATCTATGTTTATGATTGTATGTTTTTTCACAATTATAATTTTAGAGTATTAAATACATAATTTAGAATACACAAAACACTTATGAGGATGGAATTAAAATGTGAAATTTCCTAGGATATGACTAAAATTCAATGACTTGCCCAATCTATGACCTAACTAATTTTTAGACTTTTGTATGACCGAAAATAAAAAAAGAAAATTTCATGTATATTTAAATATTGAATGACAAAAATACCCTTATTTAAAATATATGCATTTTAAACTAATTTCGTCCAATTAGAATTACAATACTTTATATTGTCATTACTGCACGACATTACCGTACTTCTGACAATAATCACTGCACTTCTGCCAAAATTAATTGTCTTCTCATTCACTTTATGAAATTATTTAGTTTTTATTTTTATTTTTTAGATTTAATAATTTTATTATTTTACGTCTAATTAAGTATATTGCGTTTCATGGTGAAATTATTGCTCTGTGATTTTACGTCAAATTAAATATATTGCATTTCATGTCAGTGTTACTGCTCTATATTACTACACTGCTTGTCATAATCACTGCACTTTCAGCCAACATTATGACACGATCAATTGCATTTGATTCACTGCAATACACACTTCATCAAATCATTCATTCATTGTCCATGTACAACATTATATATTGCCATATTCACTCCCTGTATTCAACCATATGTATTGTCTTGTTCACTACTTATCTTCACTACCCATATTTAATGCCCACAAACCCTAATTTCAAAAATAGAAAAAGTAGAATGAGAATGGAGGTGGGCGGCTGGGTGGCGGCGGTGAAATGGAATGTGGCCGTGATGGAGGCGATGGTTGGGCGACACAGCATGAAGACGGCAGCGGCGAACAGTACGTCATGGGGACAGCCGCAATGCATGGGACGGCCGTGGCGATGGGGCAGGTGGTGTTGCGGCGACGAGATTGGTGATGCCGCGGCGAGGGGGGCGGGTAGGCATGGACTCGGGCCGGTCCGGGACGGGCCTCGGGCCGAGCCTGACCGGGCTTTTTTTTGGATTGTTGAGGCCCGGAATCGGCCTGGGTAGCTAATCGGGTCCAGTTCGGGCCGGGTCGGCTACCTATTTTTTTTTTTAATTTTCTAATTACTTCCTACCCTACCCTTGCCCCAAACCCGTCCAAAACACCCAGCCCAACCCATTTTCATTTTTCAAATTTTGAAAAACAAAAAACAAATTGGCCCGAACCGGGTCTGGATCGACCGGGCCGGTTCATGATTTGGAAGACCTGAGAACCGCCCCGCAACAGTACCAGGCCGGGTGGCCCGAACCAGATTATGAGCCGGGTACCGGGCCGGGTCGGGCCGAAACAATACCAGGCCCGGGCTGGTTACATGCCGATTTACCCGGCCCGAGTCCATCCCTAGGAGCGGGTGATGCCATGGCGGATGATGCCGCGGCCTGCAACAATGGCTGGTGTGGCTAGGTTTTGAAAAACTAAGTAGGGATTTATAATAACAATTAAGGGCATATTAGTTCATAAAATTTAGTTATTTATTTATTATTTATTAATTAAATATTACAAATTTAAGTATTATTTTGGAGGAAAAGCTAATAATGTCATACATTGGGAAATTGAATGAATTTTAGTCATACCTAAGGTAATTTCTCAATTAAAATTAGATTATACCCAATGCAATATTATTCATTTCACAAATGAAATTTAGAATGTTAATTGCATCCGAACAAAAATTAGAGTACTTTAAATTATATACTTATTGCAATAAATATATTTGAAAAAACATATAAATATGGTGCGAAAATGGATTTTTTTATATAAAGTATAGGGTATATATATTGCTTTCCCCTAATTTTGGATTTTTGGGGTGTTTCTCTTACTCCAAATTTTGGGGTATTTATATTACTTTCCCCTGAAAATTATTATTTTCAATAGACTTGAAAAAAAAACTGACAACCTGACCTAAATATTAGAAAATGTAGCCACAAACAAATGCATATCCATTACTCCGTAGTTAATAATTAAATTGATGGGATTCAATGCAACATTTTGGCCCTCACACTCCCTGCTTGGGGACTGAATTGTACACCTCATTTAAGAATATCATAAACAATACAGGTGTATAAAAAATTGAAATAAAAAACTATAATATTACTATACCAAGAAATATAAATAAAAATATACAAATTTGACTGCAAGGATCA